AAATTCCTGAAAATTGCAAAAATCGCAAAAATTCCTGAAAATTGCAAAAATCGCAAAAATTCCTGAAAATTGCAAAAATCGCAAAAATTCCTGAAAATTGAAAAAATCGCAAAAATGCCTGAAAATTGAAAAAATCGCAAAAATGCCTGGAAATTGAAAAAATCGCAAAAATGCCTGAAAATTGCAAGATGGGCAGCGCGACGCCGCCTCTCGAAGTAGAAGCCGACGGCGATGACGGCGGGCATGTACACCAGGCCCATGCCCAGGCCAGCAACCACAACCATACATGTTGTTTTCGACATGATTTTTCGTACATGTGGCCCTCTCAGAGTTGATTCTACTCAAATGCCTGCATGAGTTGAATTCAGTCACTCACATACCGGAATGCTCGAGCCAATTTCACATACCGGAATGCTCGAGCCAATTTCACATACACGCCGGACTCTAAGCAGATTTTACATACATGCCGGACTCCCCGGTCCAATTTTACATACATGTCAGCCACACCGAGCCGGTTTTACGTACATGTCGCGCTCCCACCGTCAATTTCACATACACGTCGCGGCACACTCACCTACGCTATCCTGGGCGATGGTGAGCAGAATGGGCAGAGCGACGCGCGCCAGGCCGCTGCCGCACGACGCCAGTCCCGTCGCGACGCCTCGCCGCCTCTCGAAGTAGAAGCCGACGGCGATGACGGCGGGCATGTACACCAGGCCCATGCCCAGGCCAGCAACCACAACCATACATGTTGTTTTCGACATGATTTTACGTACATGTGGCCCTCTCAGAGTTGATTCTACTCAAATGCCTGCATGAGTTGAATTCAGTCACTCACATACCGGAATGCTCGAGCCAATTCACATACAACCCGGACTCTCTAAACAGATTTTACATACATGCCGGACTCCCCCGGTCCAATTTTACATACATGTCAGCCACACCGAGCCGGTTTTACGTACATGTCGCGCTCCCACCGTCAATTTCACATACACGTCGCGGCACACTCACCTACGCTATCCTGGGCGATGGTGAGCAGGATGGGCAGAGCGACGCCGCCCAGGCCGCTGCCGCACGACGCCAGTCCCGTCGCGACGCCTCGCCGCCTCTCGAAGTAGAAGCCGACGGCGATGACGGCGGGCATGTACACCAGGCCCATGCCCAGGCCGGCAACCACGCCGTTGGTGAAGTAGACCAGGTGGATGGATTCGGCCAGGGAGGTGGTCAGGTAGGAGAGGATGGATAAGAGGCTGCCGGCAACGGCCACCGCCCTGTAGCCGTAGTTGTTGACGAGAGAGGCGGCGAACGGGCCTTAAAATGAAATTATGATATTTTTGCAAGATTAGAGGGCAGTTGTTGAAATTTGGCGGAAAAAATCCTTTGCCTTTGCCCAAATTGTTCACCCTGTAACTTTTAAAATTGTTGGTCCGATTTTTGTGAAATTTGTATCAAACCGTAGATTCGTGTTCTGGAATGTTGGCTTGAATATTAGTTTCCGTGAGAAGCTGATGATTTGATCATTATACAGGGAAAAACTAAAGTTACTATTTCACCCTATACTTCTTAACGCATTGTGGCCTCGATTGTGGCGAAATTGAGTGATTGAACTTGCCTTTATTATGCTTTGGGTTGAAATGTGATCCCCCTAGTTTTAGTTGCACGTCAATATCTCATTTTTAAGAGAAGATACGAATGTTTGAAGAAAGTATGGCATTTTTCAATTTTCTTTAACAATAATCAGAACCTACATAAACTTAACGATTAAAAACTTGAAGAATTGATGTCATTCATTTATACCTCTTTTCTTACCAGTTACGGGAAAAATCCTTATTTACAAAAAACAAACAAAGCAGACCTGTAGTCAATAACGAGTATGCCCTCCTCGGCCTCCTCCAGTTTGATTTACAACATTCAACCGTCGTAGCATAGAATTGATCAAATTTCTCAAGTGGTCTTGAAGAATTGCTCAAAATTCTCCTTCAAGGGCGAATCGTAGCTCCTGAAATGTCTGACAAGACCGGACGAAGGCGAATGAGCCATGAAGATGCTCTATAGGTTCTGAATTATGGTTAATAAAATTTTTTTCAAATCTTGAAACACTTGTATATTGTCTCAAAAAGAAGATATTGACGTGAATCTAGAACCATCACGTTAAGAAGGGGCGAAAATGGATCATAATTCAATTCAAAACATGATGAAACGGGAGGTTGGAGAATGGTTCTGAATTATTTTTAATAAAAATAATAAAAATCCATAATTTCCTAAAACACTTGTATCTTCTCTCAAAAAGTGGTTATCGACTTGAATCAAGAACCATTGTGCTAAGAAGGGATCACACTTCATTCCAAAACCAAATGAAGCTAAGTTCAACCACTCACCTTTTCCACAGGGCGTTGAAAAGTTACGGGTGAAAAAGTAATAAATAAAGATCAAGCCGTCAGCATCCCTCAGGACCTAATATTCATGCCAACATTCCGAGACATGAATATACGATTTGGGAGAAAATTCAGCAAAATCGGAAAAGAATTGAAAAAGTTACATGGCGAACGATTTTGCAAAATTTTTTGGTCGCCGTTTTTTTCTGCCGGTGAGTGTATTAAATTTATAGATTCGGAATCATCTGGTCATTTAACAAACACCTAGATGGTTTTCAATGCAAAATAAGCAATTTCTGAAATTCGGCGCGAAAAATATGTTCCTAATAGATCTATATCAACCTGCAAGAGACTGTATATGAATTTATCATCATTTGTTTTATTTTTACATCATCATTTTCAAAATCAAATTATTCTCAAAACAGTACACAGTATCGGAGTTCAAGCGGAGGGAGACAAAGGAACCTCGAGCTAAAATCTTATACTCTTTCCCCTTGTATAATAAATCTATAAAAAGCATTGAAACAATGACATGAAAAATTATATTCACCGCTCAAACAGAACACTCCGGTGGAAATGGCCGCGCTCACCGCCACTTTGCTCTTGGCGCATCCCAAGTCCTCTGCCATGTCGTCCAAGAACACCCCGAAGGAGACGGCCACCCCGTCCACCACGAAGAAGCAGAAGAACGCCGCTGCGACAACCACCCACCCCCAGCCGCCGTCCGGGGGCAAGGTCACGAACGCGTCTTGGTACGCCTCAGGGGGCGGTTGGTCACTGGATTTTGCTTTGTCGGCCGAAGCAGCGGCTGTCGTGTTAGAGTTCATTTCAGACGTTTGACTGTGTCTTTCTGTCAAAACAAGTCAAACTTTCAATCTATGTCTATGTTTCCCCGTAGTTTTTTATGTCATCGCAATGTCACCTAATGACCTTGGTGACCGCAAATCTTACGTTTGTACCGGGTGGCATAAAGCCACGAGGCATTAGGAACGCCAAAGATGATACTCTCCCTTCGTAAGGGTACATGACGTGATTCCATACAGTCTAAGTTAGTAACGGTTGACACGTTGTAAGGTACCAACTTTGACAATGAATAAAAAACGAGTATAAAACCACTATTTATACCTAACTCTTGAAGGCGCCACCCTCCTTTGTAGAGAGGCATTACGAACGCCAAAGTTGATACACTCCCCTCGTAAGGGTAATTGACGTGATTCCGACGTGATTCCATACATTCATATAATGAATCGAAAATGTATTTTCCTACAATAATTGAAAAAACTGCACTTTTTTAATATAATTTGTGGGCCTCAAGTGTACAATTTTTCAATATCAAAATACTGTTTTATTTTTGCAGGGAAAAGTGTGATAAAAAGTACACTTTTTTCACGGTTGTTGCTAGGCGATGGAATTCATGCTTGCGTGAAAGGGGCCTGTACACTGCTTTGTTGTTGAGCGGTCTCGTTCGACGAACAAGTGTGTTCGAACAAAAATGACGCAAAACCGAAGTGTGTGGCTGCAAAATGGTCGTTTTCGCTAGCCACACTTCATACGCTTCGGTTTGGCGTCATTTTTGTTCGGACATACTTGTTCGACGGACAAAACAGCCCACCAACATCGCAGACTATAAGCTCCTTCATGGGATTGAGCAAGACAGCAAGCGAACAAATCAAGGCGGCTGACTTCGTATTTGGTATGGAGTGCCAGTGTAATAGAGATGGGTGCGGTTTTATCAATAAAGTGACATGAAATGAGTAAATGTACTTGATAATAATTGCGTAATATCATTTAATCATTTTCATCATAAGGTGAATGAAGTTGTCATATTTTTGACAGTTGTAAGAAAAGTATTGTATGTATCTATTTTTTTACGGGGAAATGTTCGAAAAAGAATAGAACTATGACCTCTAACTGAAGAATGACGAATTGAATGTTAAAACCACTGTTTAAACCTAACTCTTGAAGACGATACTCAAAGTTGATACACTCTCCTCATAAGGGTACCTGACGTGATTCCATACACTCACATTCATAAATGACGATTAATTCCTCGACTGTTTGATTGAATCCAAGTTATATTTCCATTGCAGGTGAACCACTTCAACGACACCCACAAACAGCTGATGGTGCACTGGGTGGGCGAGAAAAGCGGCGTCGTCATTTGTCTGGCGCGAGACCCGGCACCCCTCATCCCCGGGATGAGTTCCACCCCCTCCCCCTCATCTCTCTTCGTGTCCTACGACGACGGGGACAAATACGAGAACAGGACGGAGGCCTTCAAAGGGCCCGACGGGAAGTACGCCACGCTGGACAAGTTTTACAACCATCCGAAGTTCAACAATGTCGTGAGTTTTCTCTTTTTCAAGGACAGGTTTTTATTGTTTCGACTGAGATGTCTTGTAAAATTTCGTAGAATTTGTATATCGTGGCACTTGATATCTCCAAGGTATTCGATCGAGTCTAGCACCACGGACTCCTTGCCAAGTTTCTATCTTATGGCTTGCCTCCCCAGCTATACCCTCCATACCGCATTCTCTTTCAGAACTCCAATACCAGCCAGGCAAATCAGAAACGAACGAGGGAGAAATGTTGACAACATAAATATGGACTTGGCAACAATTCTCAAATGGGGGGGATCCAATAACTTGGTAGATTTTATTGCAAACAAAACAAAAGCATGCCTTTTCTCTAGAAAAGCCGATCTCGTGTCCAACATAAGCTTGTCAGGAGTAACCATACCTTTGAAGACATCCATTTCGATGCTTGCTATTACTATCAGCAATAACCTTTCTTGAGAAAATCACGTGGGATCAATTGCTAAAAGTGCATCCCAAAAACTTGGTTTTCTGTTTCGGGCCAGGAGCTATTTCACTTCCAGTCAGCTGCTTATGATCTATAAGGCACAGATCCGACCTGTCCTGGAATACTGTTCCTATTATGGAGCACAGCACCCAAACATACCCTGAAACTGTTGGATTCTGTCCAAAAAATGGCAATTCGTCTCGTGGGTGATGCCTCGCTCACAAACTCACTCACTTCTCTGGAACACCGTAGAAAAGTTGGCGATCTGGCTCTATTTAATATATATTTTCATGGACGATGCTCTTCTGAAATATCAACAATTGTTCCTCCCTTGGCAGTCCCCGCGAAATTAACCCGTCGAGTTGAGGCTTCGCACCCCTTCGTGGTCACTTTGGAGACCTGCAGAACATCTCTTTCCAAAGACTCGTTCATCCAACGAAAAATCATGACCCATCTTCTAAAAACATCCTCTATAACAATATGAGAAATGTAGAAATGTTTCAGAAGAATGTATTTCATCAACATTCATTCATGCAAGAAATTTCAATCTGGTGGTTTTTACCGTTCAGAAGCTATGCGGGAGAATTATCTCAATGTTCAACTTTGGAATGTTATATCCGGTTATATCTCCCTCAATATTTATTCATCAAACCTTACTCATTTTGCATTGTTCAATCGCATCCAGGAAGATCTGTACAAATTTTTGACTCACCCTATATAAGCATCTGAGTTAGGTGTGAACAAAAACCTAGAACTAGCGGAAGTAGAAATAGAAGACAACATTGTTAATTCGATGGAAAATGCTTGTTTTACAGTTCGTTTTCACCGACATCAAACACAACGTGATATACGTCACTTCGGACCATGGACGGAAAATTGAAAGACGAGAAGTGATGTTTTCACCATCCGAAATTTCCTTCCATGAGGCACAATCGGGAACTTTTCTAGTTTTGGACAAAAACAGTACGAACCAAAAGGTCAGTCTTGTGTAAATGCATCCCAAGTTGGTTAGTTGTTGATATAAATTATTCTTTATAGCTATGGATAACTGAAGATTTTGGGAAAAACTTCAGAGTGGTCTACGAGTTCGTAAAGTCGTTCTATTTGTTTGCTGAAGGCAACGGCGACTACCAGTTGATAGTGCAACGAATGGAACTCAATAATTTGAGCTCCGTACTGTACTACAAGACGGTACTACGCAGAAGGAATTCGCAAATATACGCGACAGGAGTCAAAGATCTTTTCTTCAAGGGAGATTACCTTTTCACTACCAGATACAATTCGAAGGTAAGCAAATTAAATATACAAGTGTATAACATTATTTCATTCATATGATTTTCATATGGTAGCTATTATTATTGATCTCAAAAAAGCCTTTGAGATAGTTGACCACCTAATACTTTTGGAAATTTTTGAATCAATGGGACTCAGAGGCATTATGAGGAACCTTTTAGGTTTGTATCTAGGAAATAGGACAATCATTACCAAGTGTACCAACTCAAGAGTCTCACAGACTATCGATGACTAAAGGTGTTCCTCAAGTTCTCTTTTAGGACCAATCTCATATTTATTAAACAAGGTTTTTGAAAAAGACACGGCAATATTTGAGGGGGTGATTTCTCAGATCATTTTACGAAAAAAAGTTCCCCTAAATGTAGGTCCGAATTTGTTTGAAATTGGGCATCGTCGTTTCTAGTGATAGGGGGCTAATAATAGACACTATTTCAGACCCAAAAAGAACGAATTTGATGTCAGATTAGACCAATAAGCCTTTCCCTAGATTTTCAAAATCAGCGGTCCACGCGATGCAATAGACTCATACAGTTCGAAAAATATTTTTTTCCTGATTGCCCTATATATCCCAAAATATTCATCGACACTAATTCAGACCCATAAGAACGAATTTGATGTCAGATTCTAAAAATAAGCCTTTCCCTAGATTTTCAAAATCAGCGGTCCACGCGATGCAATAGACTCATACAATTCGAAAAATATTTTCTTTCTGATTGCCCTATATATCCCAAAATATTCATCGACACTAATTCAGACCCATAAGAACGAATTTGATGTCAGATTCTAAAAATAAGCCTTTCCCTAGATTTTCAAAATCAGCGGTCCACGCGATGCAATAGACTCATACAATTCGAAAAATATTTTCTTTCTGATTGCCCTATATATCCCAAAATATTCATCGACACTAATTCAGACCCATAAGAACGAATTTGATGTCAGATTCTAAAAATAAGCCTTTCCCTAGATTTTCAAAATCAGCGGTCCACGCGATGCAATAGACTCATACAATTCGAAAAATATTTTCTTTCTGATTGCCCTATATATCCCCAAAATATTCATCGACACTAATTCAGGACCCATAAGAACGAATTTGATGTCAGATTCGACCAATAAGCCTTTCCCTGGATTTTCAAAATCAGCGGTCCACGCGATGCAATAGATTCATACAGTTCAAAAAATATTTTTTTCCTGATTGCCCTATATATCCCAAAATATTCATCGACACTAATTCAGACCCATAAGAACGAATTTGATGTCAGATTCTAAAAATAAGCCTTTCCCTAGATTTTCAAAATCAGCGGTCCACGCGATGCAATAGACTCATACAATTCGAAAAATATTTTCTTTCTGATTGCCCTATATATCCCAAAATATTCATCGACCCTAATTCAGACCCATAAGAACGAATTTGATGTCAGATTCTAAAAATAAGCCTTTCCCTAGATTTTCAAAATCAGCGGTCCACGCGATGCAATAGACTCATACAATTCGAAAAATATTTTCTTTCTGATTGCCCTATATTCTCTCTCAACAACAACAACGGAGGAGGAGGAAAAGAGAGAGAATCTCTCTCAACAACAACACGGAGGAGCCTTTCCCTGGATTTTCAAAATCAGCGGTCCACGCGATGCAATAGATTCATACAGTTCAAAAAATATTTTTTTCCTGATTGCCCTATATATCCCAAAATATTCATCGACACTAATTCAGACCCATAAGAACGAATTTGATGTCAGATTCTAAAAATAAGCCTTTCCCTAGATTTTCAAAATCAGCGGTCCACGCGATGCAATAGACTCATACAATTCGAAAAATATTTTCTTTCTGATTGCCCTATATATCCCAAAATATTCATCGACACTAATTCAGACCCATAAGAACGAATTTGATGTCAGATTCTAAAAATAAGCCTTTCCCTAGATTTTCAAAATCAGCGGTCCACGCGATGCAATAGACTCATACAATTCGAAAAATATTTTCTTTCTGATTGCCCTATATATCCCAAAATATTCATCGACACTAATTCAGACCCATAAGAACGAATTTGATGTCAGATTCTAAAAATAAGCCTTTCCCTAGATTTTCAAAATCAGCGGTCCACGCGATGCAATAGACTCATACAATTCGAAAAATATTTTCTTTCTGATTGCCCTATATATCCCAAAATATTCATCGACACTAATTCAGACCCATAAGAACGAATTTGATGTCAGATTCGACCAATAAGCCTTTCCCTGGATTTTCAAAATCAGCGGTCCACGCGATGCAATAGATTCATACAGTTCAAAAAATATTTTTTTCCTGATTGCCCTATATATCCCAAAATATTCATCGACACTAATTCAGACCCATAAGAACGAATTTGATGTCAGATTCTAAAAATAAGCCTTTCCCTAGATTTTCAAAATCAGCGGTCCACGCGATGCAATAGACTCATACAATTCGAAAAATATTTTCTTTCTGATTGCCCTATATATCCCAAAATATTCATCGACACTAATTCAGACCCATAAGAACGAATTTGATGTCAGATTCTAAAAATAAGCCTTTCCCTAGATTTTCAAAATCAGCGGTCCACGCGATGCAATAGACTCATACAATTCGAAAAATATTTTCTTTCTGATTGCCCTATATATCCCAAAATATTCATCGACACTAATTCAGACCCATAAGAACGAATTTGATGTCAGATTCGACCAATAAGCCTTTCCCTGGATTTTCAAAATCAGCGGTCCACGCGATGCAATAGATTCATACAGTTCAAAAAATATTTTTTTCCTGATTGCCCTATATATCCCAAAATATTCATCGACACTAATTCAGACCCATAAGAACGAATTTGATGTCAGATTCTAAAAATAAGCCTTTCCCTAGATTTTCAAAATCAGCGGTCCACGCGATGCAATAGACTCATACAATTCGAAAAATATTTTCTTTCTGATTGCCCTATATATCCCAAAACATTTATTGACACTATTTCAGGCCCAAAAAGAACGAATTTGATGTCAGATTCGACCAATAAGCCTTTCCCTGGATTTTCAAAATCAGCGGTCCACGCGATGCAATAGATTCATACAGTTCAAAAAATATTTTTTTCCTGATTGCCCTATATATCCCAAAATATTCATCGACACTAATTCAGACCCATAAAGAACGAATTTGATGTCAGATTCTAAAAATAAGCCTTTCCCTAGATTTTCAAAATCAGCGGTCCACGCGATGCAATAGACTCATACAATTCGAAAAATATTTTCTTTCTGATTGCCCTATATATCCCAAAATATTCATCGACACTAATTCAGACCCATAAGAACGAATTTGATGTCAGATTCTAAAAATAAGCCTTTCCCTAGATTTTCAAAATCAGCGGTCCACGCGATGCAATAGACTCATACAATTCGAAAAATATTTTCTTTCTGATTGCCCTATATATCCCAAAACATTTATAGACACTATTTCAGGCCCAAAAAGAACGAATTTGATGTCAGATTCGACCAATAAGCCTTTCCCTGGATTTTCAAAATCAGCGGTCCACGCGATGCAATAGATTCATACAGTTCAAAAAATATTTTTTTCCTGATTGCCCTATATATCCCAAAATATTCATCGACACTAATTCAGACCCATAAAGAACGAATTTGATGTCAGATTCTAAAAATAAGCCTTTCCCTAGATTTTCAAAATCAGCGGTCCACGCGATGCAATAGACTCATACAATTCGAAAAATATTTTCTTTCTGATTGCCCTATATATCCCAAAACATTTATAGACACTATTTCAGGCCCAAAAAGAACGAATTTGATGTCAGATTCGACCAATAAGCCTTTCCCTGGATTTTCAAAATCAGCGGTCCACGCGATGCAATAGATTCATACAGTTCAAAAAATATTTTTTTCCTGATTGCCCTATATATCCCAAAATATTCATCGACACTAATTCAGACCCATAAGAACGAATTTGATGTCAGATTCTAAAAATAAGCCTTTCCCTAGATTTTCAAAATCAGCGGTCCACGCGATGCAATAGGCTCATACAATTCGAAAAATATTTTCTTTCTGATTGCCCTATATATCCCAAAACATTTATAGACACTATTTCAGGCCCAAAAAGAACGAATTTGATGTCAGATTCGACCAATAAGCCTTTCCCTGGATTTTCAAAATCAGCGGTCCACGCGATGCAATAGATTCATACAGTTCAAAAAATATTTTTTTCCTGATTGCCCTATATATCCCAAAATATTCATCGACACTAATTCAGACCCATAAAGAACGAATTTGATGTCAGATTCTAAAAATAAGCCTTTCCCTAGATTTTCAAAATCAGCGGTCCACGCGATGCAATAGACTCATACAATTCGAAAAATATTTTCTTTCTGATTGCCCTATATATCCCAAAACATTTATAGACACTATTTCAGGCCCAAAAAGAACGAATTTGATGTCAGATTCGACCAATAAGCCTTTCCCTGGATTTTCAAAATCAGCGGTCCACGCGATGCAATAGATTCATACAGTTCAAAAAATATTTTTTTCCTGATTGCCCTATATATCCCAAAATATTCATCGACACTAATTCAGACCCATAAGAACGAATTTGATGTCAGATTCTAAAAATAAGCCTTTCCCTAGATTTTCAAAATCAGCGGTCCACGCGATGCAATAGACTCATACAATTCGAAAAATATTTTCTTTCTGATTGCCCTATATATCCCAAAACATTTATAGACACTATTTCAGGCCCAAAAAGAACGAATTTGATGTCAGATTCGACCAATAAGCCTTTCCCTGGATTTTCAAAATCAGCGGTCCACGCGATGCAATAGATTCATACAGTTCAAAAAATATTTTTTTCCTGATTGCCCTATATATCCCAAAATATTCATCGACACTAATTCAGACCCATAAAGAACGAATTTGATGTCAGATTCGAAAAATAAGCCTTTCCCTAGATTTTCAAAATCAGCGGTCCACGCGATGCAATAGACTCATACAATTCGAAAAATATTTTCTTTCTGATTGCCCTATATATCCCAAAACATTTATAGACACTATTTCAGGCCCAAAAAGAACGAATTTGATGTCAGATTCGACCAATAAGCCTTTCCCTGGATTTTCAAAATCAGCGGTCCACGCGATGCAATAGATTCATACAGTTCAAAAAATATTTTTTTCCTGATTGCCCTATATATCCCAAAATATTCATCGACACTAATTCAGACCCATAAAGAACGAATTTGATGTCAGATTCTAAAAATAAGCCTTTCCCTAGATTTTCAAAATCAGCGGTCCACGCGATGCAATAGACTCATACAATTCGAAAAATATTTTCTTTCTGATTGCCCTATATATCCCAAAACATTTATAGACACTATTTCAGGCCCAAAAAGAACGAATTTGATGTCAGATTCGACCAATAAGCCTTTCCCTGGATTTTCAAAATCAGCGGTCCACGCGATGCAATAGATTCATACAGTTCAAAAAATATTTTTTTCCTGATTGCCCTATATATCCCAAAATATTCATCGACACTAATTCAGACCCATAAAGAACGAATTTGATGTCAGATTCGAAAAATAAGCCTTTCCCTAGATTTTCAAAATCAGCGGTCCACGCGATGCAATAGACTCATACAATTCGAAAAATATTTTCTTTCTGATTGCCCTATATATCCCAAAACATTTATAGACACTATTTCAGGCCCAAAAAGAACGAATTTGATGTCAGATTCGACCAATAAGCCTTTCCCTGGATTTTCAAAATCAGCGGTCCACGCGATGCAATAGATTCATACAGTTCAAAAAATATTTTTTTCCTGATTGCCCTATATATCCCAAAATATTCATCGACACTAATTCAGACCCATAAAGAACGAATTTGATGTCAGATTCGAAAAATAAGCCTTTCCCTAGATTTTCAAAATCAGCGGTCCACGCGATGCAATAGACTCATACAATTCGAAAAATATTTTCTTTCTGATTGCCCTATATATCCCAAAACATTTATAGACACTATTTCAGGCCCAAAAAGAACGAATTTGATGTCAGATTCGACCAATAAGCCTTTCCCTGGATTTTCAAAATCAGCGGTCCACGCGATGCAATAGATTCATACAGTTCAAAAAATATTTTTTTCCTGATTGCCCTATATATCCCAAAATATTCATCGACACTAATTCAGACCCATAAAGAACGAATTTGATGTCAGATTCTAAAAATAAGCCTTTCCCTAGATTTTCAAAATCAGCGGTCCACGCGATGCAATAGACTCATACAATTCGAAAAATATTTTCTTTCTGATTGCCCTATATATCCCAAAACATTTATAGACACTATTTCAGGCCCAAAAACAACGAATTTGATGTCAGATTCGACCAATAAGCCTTTCCCTGGATTTTCAAAATCAGCGGTCCACGCGATGCAATAGATTCATACAGTTCAAAAAATATTTTTTTCCTGATTGCCCTATATATCCCAAAATATTCATCGACACTAATTCAGACCCATAAAGAACGAATTTGATGTCAGATTCGAAAAATAAGCCTTTCCCTAGATTTTCAAAATCAGCGGTCCACGCGATGCAATAGACTCATACAATTCGAAAAATATTTTCTTTCTGATTGCCCTATATATCCCAAAACATTTATAGACACTATTTCAGGCCCAAAAAGAACGAATTTGATGTCAGATTCGACCAATAAGCCTTTCCCTGGATTTTCAAAATCAGCGGTCCACGCGATGCAATAGATTCATACAGTTCAAAAAATATTTTTTTCCTGATTGCCCTATATATCCCAAAATATTCATCGACACTAATTCAGACCCATAAAGAACGAATTTGATGTCAGATTCGAAAAATAAGCCTTTCCCTAGATTTTCAAAATCAGCGGTCCACGCGATGCAATAGACTCATACAATTCGAAAAATATTTTCTTTCTGATTGCCCTATATATCCCAAAACATTAATAGACACTATTTCAGACCCAAAAGAACGAATTTGATGTCAGATTCGACCAATAAGCCTTTCCCGAGATTTTCAAAATCAGAGGTCCACGCGATGCAATTGACTCATACAGTTCGAAAAATATTTTTTTCCTGATTGCCTTATATATCCCAATATATTCATCGACACTAATTCAGACCCAAAAAGAACGAATTTGATGTCAGATTCGACCAATAAGCCTTTCCCGAGATTTTCAAAATCAGAGGTCCACGCGATGCAATAGACTCATACAGTTCGAAAAATATATTTTTCCTGGATGCCCTATGTATCCTAAAATATTCATCGACACTAATTCAGACCCAAAAAGAACGAATTTCATGTCAGATTCGAAAAATAAGCCTTTCCCTAGATTTTCAAAATCAGCGGTCCACACGATGCAATAGAACTCATACAGTTCGAAAAATATATTTTTCCTGATTGCCCTATATATTCCAAAACATTCATAGACACTAATTCAGACCCAAAAAGAACGAATTTGATTGATTTCCATCAAGTAAAGGCCGAGTCAGTTAAAAAAAAAGTTCGGCACTGACTTTTTATTTTTTATCAATAAATTTTATAAAATTGACTCCCCTATAACGCCACTGTTTATCTAGTTAGGGTCAAATCAGTTCCTTATTGCTAGAAACAACGCTGCCAAATTTCAAACAAATCCGTGAGAACATATTTGAATTGATTTTTAAGAAAACATTAAAAAAAAACTTCAACACTCTGTATCTTAGAAACAATGCATTTCCGGACCTACATAGGAACTTTTTTCATAAAATGATCTGAGGAATCACCGGCTCAAATATTGCCGCGTCTTTTTCAAACAGCCTGTATATCACCAAAATTGAAACAAAGTTATTATACTATTTATGCATTTTATAAAATATAATTAACATAGACTTGATCAAATTTGAAAAATCACTCCATCCAAACCGTTTATCAATAAATACTAATAAAACTGAATATATATTTTCAACAAGAAAAATCGAGAAAAATAAACAAATTATTAAAAATGGATCATTCAAACAAACTAATGAGAAATAGTTTCTTGGAATTTGGTTCAATCATGAATTGAAGTAGGAAAAAAGTAATTTATAAAAAGTGACATTTTATAACCTGTCAACAGAGATGCAATTTTAAACCTTTTTCCCGTTACAGAAGAATATTGATTTATTATACAAGGGGAAAAAAGAAGTAAATTTTAGCTCCAGGTTGTGTTGTCTCCCGACGCGTAGCGGAAGGAGACAAAAAACTGTGAGCTAAAATCTAATATTTTTCCCGTGTATAATACACTATTTTTTCTGTGACAGAAGAAAGTACGATCCAATATTGAGAAAATGTTACATTATTTTGAAATCTGAAAATTATCGACGTGAAATTTTAAGTTTTTAACAGTAGGGACACCTACGTTGTAGGCATCTTCATCATTCTTTTGAAGTAATCAAATATCTGATGTCACTTCTGTCAGTCTAATTCTGTGATTTGATTTCGAAAAATTGCGAATTTAGTGGTTGTTTAGTAATATACGTAACTGCGAAGTCGAATGGAAGATAAAAGGACTTGCAGTTCTTTCTCGGAGACGGTATTATTGACTCATTTTTCGGAACTATAGCACAACAAAAGCCATCAACAGTGTAATATGTGATATATATCCGGGAAAAAAGTACTTGCTTTGTTCCCACGGGAAAAAAGTAATTTATGAAAAGTGACATATTATAACCTGTCAACAGAGATGAAATTTGAAACTTTTTTCCCGTTACAGAAAAAAACATATTTATGAAAACATGATCAAATATTTTGAGAACTTGTCCTCTGTTCATTGATTTCGTCTGATTCTTAGGGAGACCTGGAGCTGTACGTTTCCTACAAACTGGGCAAGCAGCAGAAATGCGCTTTTAGCACGTCCAAGAAAATCTTGGGCTACTTCGTGGTCGACGTGACAGAAACTCGAGCCCTGATCGCCGCTAGCCATTCGAACGTGTCGTCGAATCTGTACGTTTCCGAAAATCTCGGCGGCTCCGATGGCGAGGTCAGATTCGGATTGTCCTTGAAAGATGTGTTCGCCTTCATACCTGGAATGACTTGGCAAAACACCTGGCTAAAGTGAGTTATCGATAATATGCTGTTCTTGAATCACCCTGTAAAATCTCGATAGAGTTCAGCTAGCTTTGAGAGAGAGAAAATATGTCTTCCTCATCTTTCCTTGTCTTCAGTGTTCCAACGTAAAATAATGAAAATTATATGTTGGCAACATTGGAAATGAGAAAGAATGGAGAAGAAGATCATATTTACCTCAATATATCTTGAATTCCTGAAATTCCTTTCTGAGGACGTCACATGAGGGCAAAACAGAGTAGCCAACCTAAGAATATATTAGGCCTTTTGGATTGTGTTCACTCAACTTGCTGAACTCGTTTTATTTCTATGACCTTCTCTGTTTTGCATTGAACAATGATAACAATAGAAGAAAATCACCTTTAGTTTCGCAAATAAACCGACCTAGTATATCATTTGAATAGCTGACAGTCAGATTTCATCATAATCAAGCCAGTTGAGAAATCAAACTTCCATAATGTTGTTTCCACATTGGTAGACGTTCTTATTTTGGCAACTTGGGGTGAGCTCTCACATTGATTGTTGGTTTCTCACCCAGAAGTGGGTTATGCATTCTTCTTCTGATTTTCCTTTCGTGTTCATATTCAGTTCATGCTTGTTCGTATGTTTTATTATGACGAATAACAAAATTTATCATACCCTTGGAAGTAGCAGAAAGAGCTAGCCTCCTACAAATCAAACATCCCCTTGGTTGTTGGTTTCTCATCCAGAAGTGGGTTATGCATTCTTCATCTGATTTTGCTTTTGTGTTCATGTTCATTTCAGGCTTGTTCGAATGTTTGATTATGACGAATAGTAAAACTCATCAGACCCTAACCTATACTCATACTAAAGAGGAATCCATTCATTCATTTCTTGAGATCTCCCAAGTTTTCTAAGCACAAACAAAACCAAAAGCAAAAATTCTCACAAAGGAAATTAGTAGCATGCACAAATAAAATCTTCCAGCCACCTGTCGGAGGACGCTTTCGCGGACGTCTACAAAGTGGAAGGCCCCAACGGCATCTATATCGCCTCGAAACTCACCGGCAAAGTGACGGGCAGCTCCTTGGGCCCACAGCACCTCTCCTCGGTGATAACCTTCGATCACGGGGCGACTTGGCGGCCCATACGCCCGCCCGCTTTAGACGTGGACGGCAGAGTGAGCGGTTGCGCGGTGGCTAGGAACTGCTCGCTGCACCTCAGCCAGAAGTTCGGGCAGCTGTTCCCGGAGACCAGGACGGTCGGTATTTTGTCGAGCAAGTCAGCGCCGGGGATTATCATGGCGACGGGGGTGTTGGGGAAGACTCTGAAAGGTGAGCTGTCCGATGGACTATTTTATATGAGAATATAATAATAGTATAAGAATAAGATTTTAAATGGAGGCATCGTAGATAGACACAATTTCAACACTCAAACACATTTTTATTCACTCAGGACGGCTTGTACAAAGATGACCGTTTATAAAAATACAACATCGACAAGTGATTCGTTCTGATGCTACGATACTAATGACTGAACCTGCTTCAATCTTCGTCGTCGAGGCCGCTTGTGATAAGGCATTCCTTAGGCGTTCTTCTCATTTACGGGGTGATTTGAACATCGTCGCTAATAATAGTTATTTATTATACAAGGGAAAAAAGTATTAGATTTGTGCTAGAGGGTGTACACTATTTTGTTTTCTGACAGGAAAAACGACGATGCAATATTGAAATAGATATTTACGTAACCAGTTAGGGCGTGAGTTGAGGGTTGAACATACTTCAAAGGTTTTTTTTTGAAAATAAATCGAATCGCCCTATTTCCAGGTCACTACGGCGTGTACATCAGCACGGACTCTGGCCTGACCTGGCGTCAAACTCTGCGCGACCTCCACTTCTTCAATATGGGCGACCACGGTGGCTTACTTTCCGCTGTGCGGTACTACAAGTCCCAAGGGGTCACCAGGTAATAAAAGGATCAAACTATGTGACATTTGTACTTTTTGGGGATCACTTTGGACAATAACTACATAACCCTTTGCGTCCTACTGGTCATGCCAGATAACCACATAACAAATAATTCATCGGCGCTCTACTAGTGGTTCTGTAGCATGACCACCGTTTATACACGATACTAATACAGCCACCTATGAACTGAATTAATAACTGCGGCATTGTTTCAACTTACTAACGATGGTGTCAGTAGCTTTTGGCATCTGGGGCAACCACTTTTTTAAAAAAAAAAAAAATGGACGATTCAGATTTTTTCTTGTATTCCTCATTGTTTTTATGATGTTTCTGGTCACATGAAATATTTTCAGAAAATAAAATCTCGAAAAACACTAATTCCGGACTCAAAGGGATAATATACATAATAATACATTTTTGTGAATCAGAAAAAAAAGATCTTCAATTATCCCGAAAAATATTTAGGGTGTTCCATTGAAAATAACGAAGTTGGTTCCCATTTCTGATATCAGCGATATTCATTTGTTTCACCTCGTACAATTTTCTGGATGTTCAGAACAAACCCTACAATTTTTGTATTCGAAGTTTTCTTCTATCTACAATGATGAACCCAATAGATACACTGCGTTTAACAAATTTTTCTATCAGGGAGCCTAAAAGAAAAATCCAGTAGCTTGTCAGTGACACTCTGTTTGAAAAAATTTTTGAAGGAAAGAAATATAGATATATTGAAAAAATATCGAATTTTTACTTATCTTCTGACGTTTCGGGAACGAATCTGCTCCCGTTCTCAACATGAAAATGCAAAATATTTTTCTTTGGAAGTGGTGCTCTGCTTATAAATAGAATATTATTTGTTTTTGTATTATAGACCTTTTATGATTATGATTATGTAACAACATCATTAAAATTTGTGGAGATGACTTCGAGCATTCCTTCCTTCCTGTGAGATACTGAATGACCCTATACTTGACTTCCATCAAACACGATGTAGTGTTCTGCTCCTGGTACTAAATAAATTCTATTCTACCAGGCACATCGAGTACTCGACCGACGAGGGCGCCACGTGGAACGAGACGGCGTTCCACGTGGCCGACTTGAAGCTGTACGGGCTGATGACGGAACCGGGCGAGAACACGACCGTGTTCACGATGTTCGGCTCGCTGCCGGAGGAGCACCAGTGGATCGTGGTGAAGGTGGATTTGAAGGGGGTGTTCAATAGGAGTTGCGTCGAGGTGAGAGGCTCTTATCTTCAGATTAATAGCGTTTTCTACTCGTACTTGTTGCACTGGCTCAGTTCTTTCATGAAGTATATGTTCCGTTAATCAACCGAGGTTACCGATGCTTTCAGAGCTGATACCAACTAGGGTCCCTTGATGGAAATTGACGTTAAAGTCATGTTAACAGGGTACGGACAGATCCTCGTCTCCTCTCACTCTAAAGTGTTAGTTCCATCCTTATTCAATTCTGGGGATAAACACTAGATTTTTGACATTTTTCAACAATATTGCTATCACTTGAACCCATAACCAATCTAGCAGTTACTGTACAAACATAATACAGAATTGCATAGCATTATTTTAGCAATTTTATAACAAGATCTTCAACAAACACCTTCAATGTCAGAATAATATATCAAAAATATATAATGTCGTTATTCAATTACTACACTAGCTGTATCGAGTGGAAACAAGCCCCATATTTATGTAGGCAAAATCCTACATGGTCCTTCGAGCTGGATCGTAAATGCCTAAGTTTTCTAAAAGTATTCTAGATATAAAAAAGTTAGTAAATGTATTGGACATTTTTATGCAAATTTTTTTCTTGGAAATGAGGGTTGAAAACATTCCAAAATAAAAGTTTTATTTACAAATAATATCTACCAAGTTTCGTGTCTTTAGCAATATACAGGAAAAGTAAAAAAAATACCCACCTTAATTTTGATCACAAAATCACCCCTCGAATTATTTCCATTATCTACATACACCAAGTATATCCCACTTCTTTATTACATAGGATGACTACAAGATGTGGTCCCCGGGGCAGTCATCAGATACCAGAAGCTACATACCTTGTCTCCTTGGCCAGCAGACGACTTACCAGAGAAGAATTCCGCATGCTCGTTGCCTCAACGGCTTGGACTATGTCAGGGTCGTAGCCAAACAGCCTTGCAATTGCGATATTTGGGATTTCGAATGGTGAGAACACTATTGTAACGACGATCAAGAAGGTTTCATCTTGTTCCCTCGGAATATTGATAATTGATTTGATTGTTGCACATGGGAAACCTCAAGAGAAGCAAGATGTCATATGCAAATAAATCAGATTGATTTTGACAGTTGAATATAAACTGGATTCTAGCAAGGAGTAGATTTCCAAAATGTATTTGACACTCTTGTTCTGACGTTTCTGTATATTTTGAGTACGGACACTGACAAGCGCTGACAGTCGGACATAACCACAAATAAATAGATACCAAAATAATAGTTAACAAATTTGACAACTGTTTTCCGAAAGTTAAATTAGGTATTGAACAAAATCAACATTTATGTTCAGAAGAATACTATAGAACTGAAAATGCAAATATCCAGGCAGTTTTGAGTAAAATTGACAGTTCTTTTATTTATTTATTCAATTATTAATTTATTTATTCAGTATATTGGCTGCCTAACAAGCAAACATATTCCTCATGAATTAAAAGTATGTTATATTGGTTGCATTCCTGATTTATTTTATCAATTTCCGCCTCATTCTGAACTGTTGCGTATTCAACTGAACATATAGGTGTCTACCACAGAACTCATAACCTTTATATCTTACGATATAAAGATTATGAGTTCGGTGGTGTCTACCTACCTTTCAGCTCATCAAAAAATATATTTTCAATAATGATTGTTTCACAGTTTGTATCCATATCTATTCAATATAACGTACCGTCTTTCCCACTCGTGGAGACGCCAGGCACTCTCATTCAAAAATGGAAGACAGATAGATACATATAGATGTACTCTTCCCTGAACATGGAGAGGAAAGAAGATACGAGAAGCCTTTATCTAAGCCGAAAACATATTCATGTCCGTGTTTGGTAAAACAAATGATTTGATGATGATGATGTGTGGTTATGTCTCACCATCACTGCTTGCTGAGTGGAGCACAGAGGAGCACAGTTTTTCAGTATAATACCCAATGGTGCAATGGTTGGTTATAATTATCACGTCTTGCTATTAATTGAAATAACGGAAGTGCCAGATGTTGAAACGTGACCAAAATAATCGAAATAAAATTTGTCAAGGTAGTTTCACTATTGACGTAAGTTGTAACACGAATCCACTGATGCGCGTAATTAGCTCTGGTTTTACGAATAAAACTAAAACATTACCGATTGGTAGGTATTTCCGAATAATTTCCTTTCGTGGCATCTTCCAGCGATTTCGGCTTCATCAAAGTGGACACTCCCCACCGCTGCATCCACATCGGCACCACCCACGACCCGCAAAAGGTGCCGGCCAACTGCAAACCGGGCCGGTACTACAACCGCACCAAGGGCTACGTCCGCATCGCGGGAGACACGTGCGTGGGCGGCTTCGAGAGCCACTACCTGCCCGACCTGGTGCCCTGCCCCATCAAGCAAATGGACGATTTCCTGCTGTTCGCGCAGCGCGAACGCATATCCCGCTACAACCTCGTGACGAAGAAGCTGGAAGAGCTGCCCATCACCAATCTGAAAAACGTCATCGCTATCGACTTCGATATGGCGCAGAACTGCGTGTACTGGGCGGACATTGCCGAGGATACGATCGGGCGGCAGTGTTACTCGAACGGGAGCAAGATGGAGATTTTGGTGTCTACGGAGTTGAGTTCGATTGAGGGGATGGCATTCGATTGGATCTCGAAGACGCTGTATTTCGTCGACGGGGTTAGAGCGAAGATCGAGCTGATAAGGACTGATGTCGTCGGCAGCGGGCACATGCGCAGGACCATCTTGAACTCCACCGTGCTGAACAAACCTCGAGGTATCGAAATAGTTTTTTGAGATATTTTTTCCATCAGTTTATCGCATAAAAAGTTATTGAAAATGCCGTAATGAACGAGCGAATTCAAACGATCAGACATGGCCGCGAAACGTGTGACGTCAGTGCGCAAGCAATTTGGATTGGTAGTGCCTCCACCTTCTCGCGGGTGCCAATTAAATGCACAATGGACTTGACAATGATTCCAATTCGAACAGAGAGCTATGATTTGTCGGATATTTATTTCTAGATTCCTTTCCATTTCAGCAAATAATACAGATGTTAGATATCTCAATAATAATTAAGTATCTACCTGAAAATACGTGGTGAGTACTGAAAAATTGCATAGTAAGATGGTTGATTTCTGTTGGTCGATTATTCAAAATAATTGCCGTCACAACCAATCGAATTGCAAGGAGACACTGACATCACAGCTCAGTAGCGTTCGAATAAACAGGTATTGAAATGCCATTTTCAATATTGAATAGTTCATTTGTCGGTGGAGTTTCTCGATAAATATGTGGCCAGGATAACGTTTTCGACTTCCCTTCATAACATTATAGCTAAGAAGGTTCCAATTTTGTGATGCTGGAAAGGCCCATTTCATCTCCATTTCTTTCTAATCATAATAATAATAGAGTATATTCATAATGTTACATGATACTTGATATAGTATATTATTCCATAACTAGTGTGAAAAGTGACATATTTCACAAGAGGGATATTTAGCACGACGCACGCGGCAGAAATGTAACGAGTACATGAAATACACTTCCCAACGAGTTATGTACACTATTTTTCCTACGACCATAAATATATAATTTGAAAACAAAACACAAATTTCAAACATTTAATTGTTTTTGATATAACTTGTTATAAGATGTCTTTTATCTATGTTGAAATTAATCCAACTTATTATTCGGTAAATAAATCATTATTGCTTCCCGAAGAATAAAAATTGAAAGTGACATGGTTTGGAAATCATATTTTTTATTGAATTCGAAGTTTTCCTCGTGGTCGAAAGCTACCACGCACCTCGTATCCACGGAACCAAAAATACAGTGTGTAGAGTCACGACGGTCTATAGATCCGAGCTACACCGGTGTAGAAAGCAATGACAGCATTAACAGCAATGAGGTTATGTATCGCAGATTATGATAAAATAACAAATACCGAAATCTATACAATTATTAGTGGTCATGGGGCAAAATTTAAACTAACAGAAATGAATGTAAGTATTGGAATATGATAATTCAGTATTATAATCATCCATACATATTATATAGACAAAACAAAGATCACGTGAACGTGCAGGAATATTGCCAAGCTATTCGTTTTCACTTTTGCATTGCTGTGGTGATATGAGATACTTTCTGAGCAACAACACAGTGCTGCTGTCATAGGTGGTCGTAGGAAAAGTAATTTTTACAAAAAAAATGACTAGTTGTTAAAAAAAATCTGTCATTTATGTCATCATGGTAATTTTTTGTTACATACAACAAATCTTTCTCCAACAGGTATCGTTTTGCACCCGCAGAACGGCTACCTCTTCTGGACGGACTGGTCGGCCGACAACCCGTCGATCAGTCGCGCCAACCTGGACGGCACCCATAACCTCACTTTGTTCGGCGCCGAGACGGTCGAATGGCCGAACGGCATCACCATCGACTACATGGCGAACCGGCTGTACTGGGTGGACGCCAGGTGGGTTATCATAGTCGCGAACATTGCAATAGTCACTAGTCATTTATCTTTGTCGAGATAAAGTTTCTTCCATCTCACCGATTGAGGTCGCTTGAACGGCCATACACGTTTGACAAAAGATATTCCTCTCATTGAAGAGAATACGCGTAGATGTTCACGAGTATCTGATAGACCTTGTCTTCCACCTAAAATATCGCGTACGCCACACGAGCTACACACAAGCTAGTTGGCATAACGGCAACGTCGCCTACGTTGATTCCTCTCTATTAGATACCCATGAATTTCTATGCTGAGTTACTTCATGGTTTTCCTATGAGAAGATTAATTTTGCCAGACCAAGAACCACTGAGGAGGTATGGTAGATCGAAAAGCTTGATGAAAACTCACTAGGGGCGATAGGTGTAATATTGTCTGTTCACTTACCCAATATATGTCTGCCTATCAGTGGCGCTGGATTACTGAAAAATGTTGATAGCTCATTTGTTTCATTTGAATAGGTCGCGTGCACGTTGACCGACCCTGGAGGTAAAACATTGAAACACAACCTCACTTTTCTCTAAAACATTGAAACAACCTCACTTTCATTATTTGTTTACGAAGAAAACAAAGAATTGAAATAGTTTTGCACAACATTTTGGCATACGATTCGTGTTTCCGGGCGGAGAGACGAAGGAATATGATTTTTCGCAATAGGGACATTGTTATCGGTATTGCGTATGTTAAGGCTACTTTTTAGACGCCCTATATATCATTAATGATTTTATAGCGCTACATTACGGGTTTTGAAAGAGTGTTGTTCGACATATTGTTATCGTCTGGGCATTGGTAATCTGACTGATTTTTTTTATCCGCCTCTGGTTTTTTAGCCGCCTCTGGTTTTTTAGCTCACCTTGTATACCTTGCTATTTGGCACAAGATTTTTGATCTACCCTAAATATTTTCTATTGTTATTAAACATACCTGCTGTATATTTTTTTTCCAATTTTCGAATCAGCTCAAACGCTATCTGTATATATCTTTACACCGGATGCAGCTTCCGGTTAGCTTACTCCTCGGAGACGGATGACCTTGAAAGGCATTTTTGCTATTTTTGAGCTTGAAATTTCATGAGAAAAGTGGCCAAACGGTCGCAGTGCCGGCGTACCTCCTTTACTCCCGATTTTCCTAACCCCTCATTAATTTCGTTTCCTGGGGAGTTCGTTTCCAACTTCGAAGTAGCAATATACAAAATTCACAATTTTTCTTCACATTTTTTTTATCTTCAGGTTGGACTATATCGGTAGTTCAGATCTTCATGGAGACGATTTCGTCAAGATTATTTCCGATAACGAGGTGGTGTCGCATCCTTTTGCCGTTGCCGTCTTCAAGAATACGATGTTCTGGGACGACTGGAAGAGGAATTCGATCTTTAGCGGGAATAAGGACTACTTCAAGGGGGTGGACGTCGTTCTGAAGCAGATGCCTGGACTGATGGATCTGAAGGTAACGAATTTAAAGGAGTTCTATTCAAAAAGATTGAATGAGCGAGTGGACTGATAATATGAATTATTGCCACTCTATTATTCCACTCATGACTATACCTTTTCAACTTCAATTTCGGAATCGGTAAGTTATATTTCGGAAAAAGTAATCTCGATTTCAGAATTGGTTAGATCGATTTCAGAAATGGTAAACTCAATTTCAGAATCGATGAGATGAATTTCAGAAGAATTCCATTCAATTTCAGAAATGGTAATTGGTAGGCTCAATATCATGAAAAAAATCCTTAGATTTGTTCGAAATGTTTCCAATTGCATGTGAGATTAACAAACCATATTTATAATATTCAACTTTTCAAAAACAATTTAATCCACAGATGCCTTCCATCTGAATCGCTGGAAGATAGTGGCGTTGCACATGATTATAAGAATGCAAACACATTTGATGTGTTATCATGTTCATTGAATGATCTGCATATTCTTCAAGACATCGCAGTCTGAATTCTATCTGGTTGAGCAATCTGTTCGGATCTCCAGCTATGACCCTTTGGCGATGCTCTTGCATGAAGCTCTTCACTTCTGACTTGAAGGCACCCCATATATTATGTTTAATCTGATTCAACATAGGGCTCTCAAACACCGTTCCATCCACTGTAAACAGTCTTCTCTTTTGCAATTAAAAACATTTCAAACATATAAAAGGATTTCATCTTCTGAAATTGAAACTACCAATAATAATTCTGAAATACAACTTACCATTTCTGAAATTGAATGGACTTTTTCTGAAATTCATCTCACCGATTCTGAAATTGAGTTTACCATTTCTGAAATCGAACTAACCAATTCTGAAATCGAGATTACCTTTTCCGAAATATAACTCACTGATTCCGAAATTGAAGTTGAAAAGGTATAGAGTTCCTAAATGTACTTGACACTGCTGTTTTGACGCTTTTTGTATATTAGAGTACGGACACTATGACAAGCACTGACAATCAGACATAACCACAAATAAATTGATGAAAAAAGCGGGAACTGACAGTACACGGACGTACATGACATAAATTTCAAAGGTTTGACAAATTGAGAGAATTAGGAGAAAGATGCAAGTTTGTGCAGTTTTCAACTGTGAGAACACGGGAAATCAATTCACTCTATTCGAATTTCCATCGGATAACGTAATTCTACAAAAATGGAAACAGAATATGATGCGGCCGGCATTGAATATAGGTTCAGGCCACAAAATTTGCGAGGTATTCAAATTTCTTGGTTATTGCTTGTGATGGAATGATCTCGGGAATGATGGAGCAGAGATCACAATAGCCACCATGGAGATCATGGTCGATGATCTGATGATGAATCAGTAGCACTGACTGACTCAAACAGATTTCACATGCAACCAAGAATTCTTTAGATCATATTCGTATACGAATTCTTGTAATACTTTTGTGAAAACATATAGTGTGGAACTCTGATGTACCAGATATTGATGTATCTATATCAAAGAGTTGATTACATTGTTCGTGTATCGCTTGTTCAAAGTTGAAATCCCAAGTCTGAATGTGCATGTTCATGCGTAGTTGAGAAGTGCTGGACCACTACATATTCTAGTGGATTTTGAACCACTTCTTGGGTACCAAGAAACGAGCAATATATTATCAGAACACAGAACAAGAACGCTTAACGAGTGCACCATTTATGTTAGGTATTGAAAATGATCTTCCGATGGCTGGGTTCAAACCAACAATCCCCTTTAGCAATGTGAACGGCGATCTATAGTGAGGCAAGCGCTGAAGTTCATTTATACCTATTTCCGTATGTCTTGGAGAACCTTCATTAATTATCCTAACTGAAATCAGCTGTTATCGTTGCCATATCATTTGTCCATTTATTAATTACTTATTACCTAGCACTCCTGTACATGTGAAATTGTTCCATACGAAATAAAAGTATGTTTCATTGGTTGAAATTTATCAGTTTTTACCCCATTCCGAACTTAAGTGATGAAAAAATATTCAACTGAACGTATAATTATACCTACATATAAGAGACTTATTATTTGGGAAGAGTATTTCGTTGGTATATATTTACATACCAACTTGACATCGATCTCCATTGAGGTCCTTCAGCCTTATCATTCAATATTTCGGGAAGTAATAATTTTCTTATCCATTTATCGTACCCTTTTACCCACTCGAGGAGACGCTATGCACTCTCATACAAAAATCAAAGACAGAGAAAGATATGTGGATGTACTCTTCCCAGGACTTGTGGAGGAAGGAAGATGCGAGGATCCTTCATCCAAGCGAAAAACATATTCTTGTCCTTGTCTGGCAAAACATATGATTTGCTTCAAAATCGTTTGAGGTTATATTTGATTGTCACTGCTTGTCCAGAGTCAAGTACATTTAGGAACTCTACTGATGGCCGATGTCCTTTCTGAATCATCTCTTTCCCTTTCCTCTATTCTATTCTTAGTATTGTGTGAATTGATCTTTTATTTTCAAGTATTCATATTGTGAAAAAGACAATATGAAATATATTATACAGGGTGTCAATTTGAAAACTTCCCACCCTCAATATCTCCCTCCAAGTCGATAATATGGAAAAACGAAAAGACAGGTCGATTTTATTTTCGAGGGGGACATGGTTCTAAAATATTTTCAGCCCCGCGGCGTTGCCGCTTCTAACGAAAAGAAGCAACAACTTTGTTATTTCAAATGGAACACCCTGTATTTTATTGCATTTTTAGATTCTCACTGAAAAGCTGATTTCATCAATGTATCACACTTGGAGTCTAGCAGGAATGATTACAGAGATATAGGGTGTTCAAAATCGAGATTTTACAACTTTAGGATTTTTTTGAGTCGAAACTATTCATTATTGGTCAAAACGGCTTTTATGTCCCTATCTCAACTTTTGATTTACCATCTACTGACATTTATTTGAAACAAATACAGGGTGGTTCAAGATTCAGACTTATGATCACCCTGTATCTGTTACAATTAAATGTCAGTAGATAGTAAATCAAAAGTTGAGACAGGGACACAAAAGCCGTTTTGACCAATAATGAATAGTTTCGACACAAAAAAATCCTAAAGTTGAAAAATTTCGATTTTGAACACCCTATATCCCTGTAATCATTCCAGCTAGACCCCAAGTGTGAGCATTGATGAGATCAGCTCTTCCGGAAGAATCTAAAAATGCAATGAAATACAAGGTGTTCCATTTGAAATAACAAGGTTGTTGCTTCTTTTCGTCAGAAGCGGCAACGCCGCAGGGCTGAAAATATTTTAGAACGATGTCCCCCTCGAAAATAAAATCGACCTGTTTTTTCGTTTTTCCATATTATCGACTTGGAGGGAGATATTAAGGGTGGGAAGTTTTCAAATTGACACCCTGTATATTATTATTTAAGTAACTAAGATTCAATGGCAAAGTATGAAGATTTTACTTGATTTCATTAATAAATAATAAATTAATCAATACGTCATTAACTAACGTGATAATTTTGTAGTTTCTACTCAAGAAAGATATATGAATTTAGTGTATTAAACTAGATACAGTATGACCGGAAGGTTTAAGGAAATCTACCACTGATAAAAGCCACCTTCATCTCTCTCTCCTCTCACAGGTATTCGCCCACGGCCTCCAGATCGGCACGAACGCCTGCACGAACACCACCTGCGCGCACATCTGCGTCGGCCTGCCCCACCGCTCTTACGCCTGCCTCTGCCCCGACGGCCTCGCGATGCACGACGGCGCGTGCGTCTGTCCGGGCGGCCTGCCGCCCTTCGCCAACCTCACCTGCCCGTCGGCGGCCGAGGGCTGCTCCGAAGACCAGTTCACGTGCGCCAATCGTCTGTGCGTGCCTAAAGGGTGGCGGTGCGACAGGGAGGACGATTGCGGGGACGGGTCGGACGAGGCGAGGTGTGTTAGCGAGACGTGCCCGCCGACGTTCTTCGGGTGCGCCGATGGGAAGTGCTTGCCACACTATTGGAGGTGAGTGGGCGGTTGGCAAGAGTTTTTCATAATATCTGTGTACTGACAATACAGAAATCTACCTTATTCTTGAAGCTTTGATTGGAATTGATCCGGCTCGAAGGACCAATTTGTTCGATGCTTGGTATGATAGATGTATGGTTGTGATGAAAATGTATGATTGAGGCCAGTTCACGTGTGCGAACCGGCTGTGTGTGCCCAAGGGGTGGCGGTGCGACGGGGAGGGCGATTGCGGGGATGGGTCGGACGAAACATCATAGTGTTCATTTCAAGCTTCATTTATGAGAACTGAGTTCTTTCGACAATGAAGTATATCTTATAATTGATCGATTTAAGGTGTGTTAACGAGACGTTCTTCGGGTGCTGTGATAATGTATTGAGACTCTGTGTACTGACCTAGAATACTCAGAATAGAGAACAATACAGAATTCTACCTTATTCATTAATGTTGTGGAATGATATCCTGATGTTCTGTTATACCAGCTGCTCGATCATTGTCGATGAAATGAAAGGTTGATGATTGAAGTTTCTCGAATAGCCAAATCCGGCTCGAAAGACCAATATGTTCAATGCTTGGTATGAAAGTGGACTGTATTTGTATGGTTGTGATGATGGTACTTTTTCACACAATCATCTATTGAAATGTGCGATAAAATCACCTGGTGGAGAAACACACAGTTGTAATAGTAATCTCTAATTTTTTCAAGGTGTGACTTTGACAAAGATTGTGCTGATGGTTCCGATGAAATGGGGTGCTCCAAGATGAATTGCACGGAAAACCAGTTTTCTTGCGAAAACGGATTGTGCATCTCGATGAAGTGGAAATGCGACGGGGAAAATGACTGCAGAGACGGGTCTGACGAAAGGAACTGTAGTTCTGAGAATCCGACAACTTGTAAAAGTGAGTTTGCATTGAAAACATTATCGCTAATCGTCGCTATTTTCTATCTTCCAAAATCACATACAGATGATTAATATGTGATCATAGTGCTTCAAATTGCCATACATTGCTATGTTCAATTACAAATACAAATTTGAGCCCAAACTGAACGCTGGAAATCACCCGGTATTGATAAGTTTCAAGTGGTACGAATTCCAGTGAAAAATGTTTTTCTTGTGAAGAGTATCAAAAAGAGACACTATTTTTGTCGAATTTAATCATTTTTTTAACGAAACAGTGTAATTAGTCGATTTAAATGAAAATATTTTTCGAGATATAACATCAAAATCAATGGTACATTATGAGCAAAACAATCAGAAAATGTTTGGAGGAAATGAAATAACTCCAAGATTCATTTAGAATTTATAAACTAGCTGAAAATGAATGGAATGTGAAACTGAAACCATAAATATCTGAAACTGACCGAATAAATCCGTTGACGAAATGCGACATATTTTTATAGTTTTCAATAAATTAATGAGACTGGCAACAATCTCCTCTGTAACGGAAATCAATGTATACACCCCAACCCAACAGGCGATGGCCTCTTTTGCACAGAGGCTTCACCGACGTCAATGGTTGATACTCTCCCCTCGTAAGGATACCTGTCGTGTCTTATTGAGACATGGAGGTTACTATCAAAATATTTTATATGATATATCGTCTTCCATAACATATAAAATTTTGAAGAAATATTCGAATTGAATTGAATATTTAACGAAACAGGAATGGGATACTCATCATTCGTCGTTGGTTTCTGGTCTGATATCCACTTCAGTGCATTTTTTCCTTGAGGCTTAAATGGTCCATTTATAACACTTTTATTAGATCTAAAACATAGTTGGTATTAAATATCGAATTTTAAGTAAATTGAGCATCGAATTGTAAAAGTAACATGGAATATATATGAAAACTGTTTTCAAATTTCGTTGCTGATATTCGACATATTCTATTACTCAAAAAATTAACCGAAAAGATAGCCAACAATTTTCTCATTAATGAAAACACGGTATATACCTAACCCATCAGGCAACCTACCTCTGTTGCAAAGAGGGTTTACCGACGCCAAGGGTTGATACTCTCCCCTCGTAAGGGTACCTGCCGTGTCTCATCGAGACATAAAGGATACTATCAAAATATTTTCTGATATATCGCCTTCCATAACAAATATAAAATTTTGAATAAATATTCGAATTATATTGAATATAATACGAAACAGGAATGGGATACTCATCATTCGTCATTGGTTTCTGGACTCGTATCCACTTCAGTACATTTTTTTCCTTTGGGCTCAAATGGTCGATCTATAACACTTTTCTTCTTCGATCTAAAACATAGTAAGTATTAAATATCGAATATGAAGTAAAATGCGCATCGAAGTGTAGAAGTAACATAGAATATTTTATAAAGACTATTTTCAAATTCTGTTGCTGAAATGCGACATATACTATTACTCAAAAAATGAACCGAAAAGATAGCCAACAATTTTCTCCTTAATGAAAACACTGTATATACCTAACCCATCAGGCACCTACCTCGGTTGCAAAGAGGGTTTACCGACGCCAAGGGTTGATACTCTCCCCTCGTAAGGGTACCTGTCGTGTCTCATTGAGACATAATGGTTACTATCAAAATATTTTCTATGATATATCGCCTTCCATAACAAATATAAAATTTTGAAGAAATATTCGAAATTAATTGAATATAATACGAAACAGGAATGTGATACTCATCATTCGTAGTCGGTTTCTGGTCTGGTATCCACTTCAGTGCATTTTTTTCCTCTGGGCGCAAATGGTCGATTTATAAAACTTTTCTTCTTCGATCTAAAACATAGTTGGTATTAAATATCGAATTTTGAGTGAAATGCACATCGAATTTCAGAAGTAACAAGGAATATATATTGAAACTGTTTTCAAATTCAGTTGCTGAAATGCGACATATTCTATTACTCAAAAAATGAACCGAAAAGATAGCCAACAATTTTCTCCTTAATGAAAACACTGTATATACCTAACCCATCAGGCACCTACCTCGGTTGCAAAGAGGATTTACCGACGCCAAGGGTTGATACTCTCCCCTCGTAAGGGTACCTGTCGTGTCTCATTGAGACATAATGGTTACTATCAAAATATTTTCTATGATATATCGCCTTCCATAACAAATATAACATTTTGAAGAAATATTCGAAATTAATTGAATATAATATGAAACAGGAATGTGATACTCATCATTCGTAGTCGGTTTCTGGTCTGGTATCCACTTCAGTGAATTTTTTTCCTCTGGGCGCAAATGGTCGATTTATAACACTTTTCTTCTTCGATCTAAAACATAGTTGGTATTAAATATCGAATTTTGAGTGAAATGCGCATCGAATTTCAGAAGTAACAAGGAATATATATTAAAACTGTTTTCAAATTCAGTTGCTGAAATGCGACATATTCTATTACTCAAAAAATGAACCGAAAAGATAGCCATCAATTTTCTTCTTAATGAAAACACTGTATTTACCTAATCTATCAGGCACCTACCTCGGTTGCAAAGAGGGTTTAGCGACGCCAAGGGTTGATACTCTTCCCTCGTAAGGGTACCTGTCGTGTCTCATTGAGACATAATGGTTACTATCAAAATATTTTCTATGATATATCGCCTTCCATAAGAAATATAAAAATTTGAAGTAATATTCGAATTGTATATAATATGAAACCTGAATGGGATACCCATCATCCGTCGTTGGTTTCTGGTCTGGTATCCACTTCAGTGCATTTTTTTCCTTTGGGCATATGGTCGATTTATAACACTTTTCTTCTTCGATCTAAAACAAAGCAATTAAAATGCGCATCGAATTGTAGAAGAAACGTAGAAGTAACATGGAATATATATGAAAACTGTTGCTGAAATGCGACATATTCCATTACTCAAAAAATGAACCGAAAAGATAGCCAACAATTTTCTCCATAATGAAAACACTGTATATACCTAACCCATCAGGCACCTACCTCGAGTGTAAAGTGGGTTTACCTACGCCAAGGGTTGATACTCTCCCCTCTTAAGGGTACCTGTCATGTCTCACTAAAAAAAAATTCTTCGATTCCAGACGACGAATTTCACTGCAAGACAGGCGGCATCACGTGCATCCCGGTCACGTGGAAGTGTGACACGGAGCCCGATTGCGGCGACGGCTCGGACGAGCTGGACTGCGCGAACAACACTTGTTCCGAGGCGCAGATGTCGTGCGGCGCGCCACAGAACAAGTGCATCTACAATAGCTGGATGTGCGACGGAGATAGAGACTGTCCCGACGGCAGGGACGAGCTGAACTGCACGACGTCAAAGGCGGAGCAGCCGAAGATGCCCAACGACTTTTTGAGCAAGGTGAGCGAAGAGGATCTTTTTGTTCGATTGCCTTTATTATCCCACGAAAGCTGTCGTTTATAATAAGGATATACAGGAAGGAAAGTCAAAAATGTATACAATTCATAAAATTGATTGAAACGTCAAACTGCAATTTGTCTGTGAACCAGTAAACTGTATGGACAGCATCTGTCAAATCATCGTAATCCAAATGTTTATAGTGTTACCTAGGGTCCCTTGATGCAAACTGACGTATTTGCCATCTAATAGGGTACGGACAGATCATAGCTCCTTTCACTTCTAATCATCTAGTGACTCTGGTTTCGTGTATTGGCGTCCCTGACATGACATTGCTGTCATGTCACATTCATAGGCGTTGAAAGAGATCTTACAAAATTGTAATTTCATACTTGATCTCAATACGACATTATTCAATTCTGTTTTGAAAGGATGGTAAAATGTGCTGCGTTAGGCTGTATAAATCAGTTGGATGGCAAATTTGAATTTGTCAGCTTTGCATCAAATGCAAATGAACTCAGAACATGGAAAGTGAAGTGGCCGAATGGGGAAAATTGGTAAATACATCAGCAAAATATTCGAGGTGAAACTAATACGAAATCACATATTATACTTTCTCATTGTGCCTATAATTATCCATTCCACAAGTTTTTGAATGCATTTTAGTCGAAACAGTTTTGATTAAAACGGAGGATTAAAAGAAGAGGCTTATGCCCTACCATTTAAAAAATTATACCTACATTCAGGAAATATTAAGTATTCGTGAAAAACTGCAAAAATGATTCCCAACATGAATATATACAACACACATGACATATAAGCACATTAGTTTGAATACCTACATAAAATTTTTCACCATTTCTCAACCATAAGGCTTAGTCTGAAATCAAAGCTAGTTTATTGATAGGTACTGCCTAAGAACAGTCCAATTTGGTAAAACGTAATAAACTTTCAGAAAAATTTGTTCACTGCCTCACAAAGATTATGCTGGGGATGAAAAATCAAAAACTCGAAAATTATCATCATTTGGATAAGTATATGTAGAGTTGACTGAGAAATTACACATAGAAATCACGTATGATACGCCAATGTCCTCAATATAACCTAAAAAACAACAAATGTCAGAAATCTAGTGTTTATCCCCAGAAATGAATAAATATGAAACTATATAACTGTTTCACAAACACTTTAGAGTGAGAGGAGGCGAGGAACTGTCCATACCCTGCTAAGTTGACAAATACGTCAATTTACATCTTACCTTAGTGTCACCTAAGTCAACCCAGGTCAATTCCACATTCTGTCATTTGACAGAATGTGAAAATCGACCAATCTCAAGTTTTAGCATAAAGACATATTTGCATTAAAACTCATCTTAATGGAAAATTGAATAGAATAATGATAACAGTGTCTTCAAAATATCAAATTCAAATATTCTTTTTACTTGGACAAGTAAATTGCTCAGACATCACAAAAATTTCCACCACCAAAACGTACCAAACCTGACATCACCATACTGATTATCGTTTCGACAAAGAATGGTACATGACTGATGTGTGTGATCATAAAAGCTTACCAAATCTCACAGGTAACCTACTAGGAGGCCAGTTAGTTGTGTTGTTTTGGATTCGTTATTCGGGTTCCGCTGTAGTACATGTGTTTTTGCTTTGGACAATACTGTCAAAAATGAAATCACCATTCCGCATGTTCAATGTTCTTCAGTGTTTTATCAAATTTCAGAACGGCTCCTGCCAAGATTGGATGTTCGTATGCAACAACTCCAGATGCATTCCATTCTGGTGGAAATGCGATGGGGTCGACGATTGTCTGGACAACAGTGACGAAGTGGGCTGTTCGGGCATGGTAGTACATCCAACGGTAATGTTATTGATTCACCTATTAGCAAATTTCAAAGATCTCATAATGTTTGAACTACTAGATGAACTTTCTACCTCATATTATGTCGTCGGATATTGAAATCCTGACAAATGAATCCACAGACTCTACATCTCGTCAAATTTTACTCTATTATCAAATTAAGACGAATTACAGGGACCAGAAGACGAGAGCGTGTAACCCACCAACCAAATAACTTGGGATGGTTAAATATGGAGGCCCGACGTGTATTTCGTGCTTGTATCCTCTTCCATAAAATTATCTCCTCAAAAACGCCTTCTTATCTTCACGATAAAATTTGCTATAGAACTGACATTGATAGTTTGAATCTTAGGTTCAGAAATCAACTCACAACACCAACTCACAAGACTTCCCTTTATCTTGGCTCTTTCTCTTACAATATTGCCTTGCGTTACAATAGACTTCCGAATTCAATGAAACCATTATCGATTTCAAAGGACCCCGCACTTTTTCTATATAAAAATGGCGTTCCGTCGAATTTCCCCAATTTTTGGTAAATGATAGTACTCGACATACTGATTGAATATGCCAAGTCCCAACTCAATCCTATGACTAGTTTACGAGATACAGGGTGTTGAAGTTGAAGAATACCTAATTTTTCTCGGCCTATATCTCTAAGATAGGACAAATGAATTCCAATTTTTCGGGAGCACGTAATAGTTATGCCCTTAGGCGCAAGAACTATATAGGTATTCGACCAAAACTGATTTTTATTACAGGGTGATTCTCATTTCAAATAATGTGTTTTTTTGAATATCTGAATATCAATGCTACAAATTGATAACAATTACAAAATGAGATTTATAGCCAAGTATGATCTTCTTACATCAATTGAATTCGTAAAATATAATAATTATACATGGTGTTTCATTAATGCTGTTGATTGCATAATTGGTCTATCCTAAAGTTCATTGGGCCACCTCGTATTATCGGGTTGATTCCAGACATTCAAAATATTTTTGAAGGATGTATCCCAATGAGTTCCATGATATACAGAGTGATTCATCGATTGAAAAAATTGACAACCACGAAAAAATATTCAAAAACCACTATTTTTTTCATCACCCTCTAATTCGAAATTATTACCGTCGATGTAAGATTTTTTTCCACCAATATACTCAGTATGGATATTTCAATCAAATTGGAAATTTTCAGACCCGTGCTATGACTAGTTTTTTTTATACATCGAATAATGTGAAAATAATTATGGAAAAGTAATTACATAATAACACGAAAAATTGCTCCGAATCGCAAAACTAGTAGTCACTAGTCAACTATGTCAAAAAATGTGATTTGTTCGTAAACAAAATCTAGTGGTCTTATTATAGGTCCGCTAGCAAAACATCTCGAAAATGTTTTTCAGAAAACATCAAACAAATCACAATATGCCCCCGAAAAAATCTCATCAACGACACAACTATTCTACGCACCCCTTTCATCAACTTTCAACTCATCAACGATCCCACTCATAAACGTGCTAAAACTCATGAGCGTTCGAAGTCGACAGCGGTTTTTCCCAACTCAATCCTATGACTACTTTTCGAAAAAAGTATGAAACTAAACTTCCGCAAACGCCTAGTAAGAGGTGCGCGTTAATATATTTTGCAACTCTCCTATATCCAACCAACTTCCAATCTTTTGACCATACTGTATATTGTTAGAATCGAAGTTAGTATATGCACATCGCAAAGACACTAAAGTTGGAGTTCTGGTTATGTAGATATTCGTTACCGGGTTCAGTATAGGCCTGAAAGAAAAATGTCAATTAAGAATTTCAATCACAGATTTTGAAAAAATAGACAAACCAACTCGTTTCCCCACCACCTGAGAGGTAGAGTTTCAGGCGCGTTTTTTTATTGTGGTATCCCCTGTAGGCCTAGTCCACGTTAGAAAGTGAAAGTTCCAATACCTATAATATGATTGTGTGTAGGCAGGATTGGCGCAGTGGACGAGCACCCGAGTCAGGACTGCGGGGTCGTGGGTTCGATTCCCAGACAGCGCAAGGAATTTTTCGAATATTAATATACGAATTAAATATTGTGAAGTTTCGGAGCATCGGCTGGGGATAGTCCTGCACGATTCACTGTTGCGTGCCTACATACAATATAGATACATGTTCAGAACACTATGGGCTAAAGGACCTCATTAGGGATCGATGGTTGGTTGGTATGTACATACCTACCAACGAAGGACATATACTACTACTACTACTATAATTATGTTTCACAAGGAACACAGAAATCAACTAATCGCCAGATTCAAATCAGTTCCGGACCGATGTTCATATTTTCAGGATTCAATCGATTTGCAGCATCGTCGATACAATTCAAAAGGCGATCAGATGGAAAGGTAATATTTCCTTGGTTTCTTGCGTATCCAAGGAACCATACCACACTGGCTACGTGTGCACACGTCCCTAATGTTCTAGCACCGGACCTACAAGTACAGTAGTACCCTAAAATGGGCGGATCTTGTAAATTATTATCATCGATTTCTCTGAATACTAACCACAGCATATGTTTAGTGGCATTTCTGAACCGAGAAAATACTCGAAATCTTAAAAAATTGGGTTCCTCAATGAGTTCGTCAATATCGAGTGTATTTTGTTCCCCTCCATCTCTTTGTATCGTGTCTTGTATGTAGGAGGCAGCTAAGTGAATGTGATATGACCCTGTGAGTGTTTTCAAATATTCTAAGTCAAGTCGAGGAAACGTCGGTACATGTCTATGGTTCAAACGAAACCATCGACCATTTCTTGTACGGAGGTTTTCAGCCTCAACTCGGGCCTGAACAATGTTGACTTCTTCGATATCATGCAACATTTGTGTAGCTAATTCCAATGTGCCCGGCATCCTTATTGGAGGATGGTATTTGTTTATTAGGGCGCCAGCAATCAAATAGAATTCGCGTAATTTTGCAACATGTGTTATTGATATCGCTCCTCGGAAAAATTTGAAAATCGATTTGAAATGCCCATTTCTAGCCTCTACAATCCATCTGGTGCTAGTAATTAAGCGTGCCCTATTAGTTTCGATTGTTGTGAGTTGTCTTTGGTTTGGTGGTAGAAATGGTGGCATATGGTAATGGAGACCAAGATCCTGTAAAAGACCAATAGAGTCCCTATAACCCCTATCGACTATCACTACATCGCCTTCTTGAAACCATGTCCTCATTCTATTTATATCATTCTGTAGCTCATGCTGCAGAATGGTGGCATCATTATTTCTAGCATCAGAAAAGTATGGACCATTAATTGCCAAGATGTAGCCATCAGGAGCGACCATAATTTCAGGCTTAACCAGGTGCTCATTTTTATGGAAGCAGTAGGATTGTCTCAATATCCGGAAATTACTACTTTTTTCTATTTTGTTATATGTACAGTCTATATACACAATTGCTTTTGGGATATTGGGAGAAGGGTTGTATAGCTGATTGGTGTATACAGACACGTGTCTATTAATATAATCGTCTCTTGTAATAGAGTCGAAACCAATATTATTAGTTACAAATCTTTGCATTAAAGATATCCTCACATTCGATATTATCAAGCTAGTTGTTTGTCTTGAAGAAAAATGAAACAAGATTTTCAAAAACTCATCTGAAACTCCATGTTTCATTTTGATTAGAAATGTCAGTAAATGTTTCTTTTTGATATGCCTTCTATTTCCCCCTTGCTCGATTGTATCACAAAATCCATAAAGTTCTTGAAAATCTTCTTTTGAAATCGACGTCAGAGCTTTGAACTCTTCTTCTGTAAAACTATCAATATCATCCCAGTTTCTAATACGTCTATTTTCATTGGCAACTGTTCTCATACACTGTAGAAATTGAAGCATATTTGATATCAAATAGGGTTTGTTGATAAAATTCAAACCTCCATGCAAATTATTCAAGAGAAATCCATGAGGGTCAAGATGATGACCACAAATTCTCAGAAAGTCCGGAACATAAATATTCGTTACAACAAAAATGTTCACCCTACATGCAAGAGTTATTCTCTGAACATGTTGACGAGCATTACAGATTATGCAGGCACGGCTCATTACTGGACTCAATACATTTAGGCGAAGACAGTTTGGGTTATTTTCCATCTCATTGATATCAATTATTACACTGTTATGACAATTGAAACAAACTCTGGTATCATCAAAAATGTCAATTGGAGGATTTTCAGCAGCTTGTCTTCTAAATGTTGCAATTTGCAGAAAATCAACATTATCTTCACGATTTATACGAATTGTGAGTCTAGGAATGAAATTCCCTTCGCATACATAACATCTTACCCTATTTGCAAATGCCATAATGCGCACTAAATTCACTAAACAATTACTGAAAACGACTTAAAAAACACTCAGAATAAAGATATACGCTGATATGATATTTTAAGATACTGACAACCCGAAAGTTGCTGGATGACAGACACATTTATTGATATCATGATTTTGTTTTCTAAGCCTACTGAAAAATATTCTATCTGGTTGCGATAATCCAAATTCGACTTCTACGAAGTAAAACATACTTATTAATTCGTGACAACCCAAGTTTCTAGACTAATTCGACCCCGCCGATTCCGAAAATATCAGTTGTCAACTTGAATTGGGACTAGAACTTACCCTAAAATATAATTTTATAGTTATTTGAGGATGTCTATCGATCTATTACGGTATGTATATCTTACGATATACATTACCTAATGCCACTATTTCTTCCAACAAATAGATGTTGTTGGAAAACGAGTTGGTTCATGTATTTTTTCAAAATCTATGATTGCAATTCTGAATTGATATTAAGTGGAAGAAAGAGGCTTCGAGATTGTTTCATTATTATTTTACTATATTTTTGATGTGTTGGATAAATGATGATTCCTCGGTACCTACTGATGTTCCTGTATTCCATTTTTCTTTCAAGTCTATACTGAACCCGGTAACGAATATCTACATAACCAAAACTCCAACTTTAGTGTCTTTCCGATGTGCATATACTAACTTCGATTCTAACAATATACAGTATGATCAAAAGATTGGAAGTTGGTTGGATAAAGGAGAGTTGCAAAATATATTAACGCGCACCTCTCACTAGGCGTTTGCGGAAGTTTAGTTTCATATTTTTTTCGAAAAGTATAGTCATAGGATTGAGTTGGGAAAAACCGCTGTCGACTTGGAACGCTCATGAGTTTTAGCACGTTTATATGAGTGGGATCGTTGATGAGTTGTGTCGTTGATGAGATTTTTTCGGGGGCATATTGTGATTTGTTTGATGTTTTCTGAAAAACATTTTCGAGATGTTTTGCTAGCGGACCTATAATAAGACCACTAGATTTTTTTTACGAACAAATCACATTTTTTGACATAGTTGACTAGTGACTACTAGTTTTGCGATTCGGAGCAATTTTTCGTGTTATTATGTAATTACTTTTCCATAATTATTTTCACATTATTCGATGTATAAAAAAAACTAGTCATAGCATGGGTCTGAAAATTCCCAATTTGATTGAAATATCCATACTGAGTATATTGGTGGAAAAAAATCTTACATCGACGGTAATAATTTCGAATTAGAGGGTGATGAAAAAAATAGTGGTTTTTGAATATTTTTTCGTGGTTGTCAATTTTTTCAATCGATGAATCACTCTGTATATCATGGAACTCATTGGGATACATCCTTCAAAAATATTTTGAATGTCTGGAATCAACCCGATAATACGAGGTGGCCCAATGAACTTTAGGATAGACCAATTATGCAATCAACAGCATTAATGAAACACCATGTATAATTATTATATTTTACGAATTCAATTGATGTAAGAAGAGCATACTTGGCTATAAGTCTCATTTTGTAATTGTTATCAATTTGTAGCATTGATATTCAGATATTCAAAAAAACACATTATTTGAAATGAGAATCACCCTGTAATAAAAATCAGTTTTGGTCGAATACCTATATAGTTCTTGCGCCTAAGGGCATAACTATTACGTGCTCCCGAAAAATTGGAATTCATTTGTCCTATCTTAGAGATATAGGCCGAGAAAAATTAGGTATTCTTCAACTTCAACACCCTGTATCTCGTAAACTAGTCATAGGATTGAGTTGGGACTTGGCATATTCAATCAGTATGTCGAGTACTATCATTTACCAAAAATTGGGGAAATTCGACGGAAAGCCATTTTTATATAGAAAAAGTGCGGGGTCCTTTAAGAAAAAAAATAAAATCTCACTCCATACTAGTCCATACTACTCAACTACTTTGACTTGTATAGGTATGCATTGTACATGCGTTATACACATCATCTATTTCGAATCTATGAATTTTATTCATTTCAATTATCAATGAGTAATGAGTAGAGTAGAGTAGAGTAGTTTATTCGACTATGTTATATACAATGAGTATTAACAATCATATATTTCACATTAGTATGGTTCAAGTTCGAAATTAAATGTTCTTTCCTTAGTTGAATGGAAGAGCAAGCTCAGATTGCGTCCCTTACTGGTGACATGATCTGAATTTGAATTCTGCCACAAGGCACACCGAAAAAAATCAAGAGGATCGAGATAATTTGTTTTAATGGAATGCCCTGTATATTAGCACATTTTTTGTAGCTTCCCTGTGACCTCCATCTATTCAATGCTGCTTACAGGGAAGTAAGGGTAAGACGAAGGCACATCTAGTAGTTCTTGTTATAAGATGTTTGTCAAATTTGCTTGTACACGGTGATTGTTTATATTTTACTCGATAGCTTTTCGATAAACATTTTATTGAAAAAAAGTAGTTTTGTAAAGTTCTCAGCAACTTCACTTAGCGCCCTAGGAGCTAAGTAACATGGATCTATATAAAAAATTGTGAATATCTCCAAAACGATAACCTCCAGCGTAATTAAGGCCCTTATACATAAATAACTATTCTCATTGGTTTCATGTTCACATAAATACCCAAAAGTAGTTATAATAGATATGTGAGAACATAATATACCTTCTGAAACTGAGAACTGGAAACACTCATAATAAGAAATTCGTTAACTTCTTAATCCCATACTTCGACTCGCTTTTGGATTATTTCTTATAATATTCTTCTGCTTTCTGAATTGATGGAACAGCAGATTCTCTCGAACAGATTTTGAAATCTTCCGTTCGAAAATGGGCCTTAAATCATTATAATCAGATGCTGTTATAAGAAGGGAATTTTAATGAGTACCTCACAAATTTTGCTCGTCTTCAAATTGATTTTCCACCCATATCTTCCTTCCATAAGCGAATGGTTGATATTTGTTTTGGAAAATTGAATAAATGATATCAATTTTTTTCAGAATTGACACAATTCGTTACACAGCAAGTAATTTCCATAGGCTTTTTTCTCGAAAGTATAATTATGACATTTTATTTCAATTCTGACGTTTATAAAATTGATTGTCAAATTCAAACAATTTTGAATGAAAAAGCGCGGGACGACTATGGTGCTCTTGTCACAATGCAAGGTTTGTGACTTAATAAATCTAAACATTCAAAAACCCCAACCGTTGTCATTTCTGTGTCCGAACTCTTATCAAACCAATACCATCCAGTGACTCAAACCCTAATTCATTGAAACATGACTCTCCGCGGTTTCACATCGGTCTGGTGATCGTTCCAGGTGGAACCGCTACCTCCGACGGTCACCCCCCAATCCATATGCGAATCGAACCAGTTCCATTGCTCGAGCGGCGACTGCATCGACTCTTCTTGGGTGTGCGACGGTACGTACGACTGCTTAGGCGGCGAGGACGAGAACAACTGCAACTGGCTGTCGAACTGTTCGAGCAAACAGTTCAAGTGCCAGAGCGACGGCAGCTGCGTATCGGTGAGTTTAGAGTGCGTCGAACCCTACTTCACTACTAGTCCAGTAACTTTGTCGCGTGAACATATGGGGGTAGTATGCGTCAAATCCGGTAGTTCTGATTTTTTGCAGACTTGTTCATGATGTTGGCCTAATGAATGATCCAATAGTTTTCGTGATTGAGCCTTTCAAAGTTTATAATTTTTTTCGAACTTCACAATTTTTTGCAATGTTTTAGGCGTCACTCGAATATACTCTAGCGGAATGACGTTTCAATTACCTCCGACGGAGTGTGCTAGTACTGTTCGTGTGAAGTCACGAATGTGACCCACCTGTAGCACGTTTTCAAACTTTTTAGGCAATCTAAACCACGGGGCTCTTTAGCTGGCAAGATGGCGCCTGGTTGCAAGGCCATCACATGGTACCTGGTACACATCCTTTGGTTTCTCATGATTGATTCTGTTGTTATATCCTTTCTCTTGATGGCTGCTAGCCACATTTCTCTTCTTATTCTTGATAGATCTTTTATCTGTGGATAATGCACAGAGTTTTTCACAGAATCACAGTGGGAATGTGAAAAAACTAAGCAAATTTTCCCGATCTGCACGGCTTCCACTATCCACCACAATACACGTTACCCGCATTTTTCCTTTAACATCATATTGAGTTTTCATTATTCACAATAAATCTAACTAAAACTGAATAAAATAATACTCTATAAGGTTTCCAAAATCCACCAAGTCCTCAAGTATACAAACGAGTTACTTGTTTGTTTGCCTACCAGACGTCATTTCGAACATCAACATCATCATTCATTATGTGAAGAACGTGTGGATACAAAAGTTGTAGGTCTCTTCATTATCTACAACTTTGCTATTCAAATTTTTTCCACAGGGCTCGTAGTTTTCTGGAAATCAAGATAAACCGTTTTTTACCCTTGAAAACTCACCCCCTACCACTTCCTGACCTCAGATCGCCCGTAGTTCATTTTCCCTTTCATCTTTGTTATATTATCGACCCTGGTCTATTAGGGATATCCAGCGTAATAAAGGATATCTCGACAGAGATGTATAGAAATTTAACTGGTGCGCTTGCTCCCTATTGAAGGTCGTTTGCAAGTTTCTCGATGGCGCCTACTCTGATGAACCTTTGATAAACATACATGACATGGGTAAATCTCGCTAAGCTCATCCTGGTTACAATCCATATTTACATGATTTGTCAAAAATATTCTTGAGCTGAAAAAATGGTTATTTCTGAGATTGGGGTCAAGTGTTTGTTAGAGACGTGTTCCATAATTTCTAAATTTTGTGTATAATACCTAATCCAATCCACCATAGAAAAAAGAAAATCTCTGTTCTACAACAGTATTATTTCAGTGATTTGAAATATTAGCGTGAACTGGTGTGAATAAATTCTAAGGTTAGTACCAGTTACCATATCTGCCTACTATGATTTTCGATATTGGTCTATTTCAATAGTTGATACATTCTTTGTTCTCGTTCTTCAAAGAGGGAATTCATCAGATTTCATGCTTTAAATAGGTTCATGTCATGAAAGAAGTGAAGCTTATTAAAATCGGCTCTTGCTTCTATTTCAAATTGAAATTTGAATGAAAATGTTGAGCACAGTATTTATTCGACCACAGAACAATGATGGAAATAGATTCATCCCTCACAGAACCAAGGTTTTGAACGATTTTCCGATACAACAATAATTGTTTCGTCAGACAAACTCTCGATATGGAACAATTGCAAGCGAGTTTTGGACGTGGGGTTCAGCTATTATTGAAGAGTGTGCCCACCAGTTAAATTTCTATACATCTCTATCTCGACTTTGACAGACACCTCACGTCCCAGTGACGTTAACTGATGAGTATCGTGGAACAGTCAGTAGCGATGATTTCGTTATTGTTGTTGTCAATTTTCCAGCTTTCTGCGGTATGCAACGGCATCTACGAGTGCCCTGACGGCACGGACGAGCTGTCCTGCGATCGAGACCTTCCTGCTGTGCCTGCGGCGCCGTCTTGCAGCCGCGGCCTGTTCGCCTGCGACTCGGCCTGCTACCCGCTGAGCTACGTGTGCGACGGAAAGATCGACTGCAGGGACGGGACGGACGAGGGGAATTGCACAAAGAGGGAGAGAGTGTACCAGGTGATGCAGCTGGACATCGACGAAAGGTGAGAATTGGAGGTTAGGAGAACTTTCCCTGCTCAGCAATGGTCTATTCCATAGACATTCAAAAAGAGGGGAGACTTGACAGTTCATTCATAGAACACTATTTAATTACAATCATACATACTTCCAAAGTTTCAAATAAGTTGAAAGAGATGGCTTTTAATAATGGCAACGCTGTAAACAATGTTCAGACTTTTCTTTGCCAGTCGTGTAGGTTAGGCGAGGGGCAAGACAATTTTACTACAATGACAACGCTATTATACCTATTAGAAAATGTTAAGGTCTAAACGTTCAATTTCAATACCAAATATTCGTCATCTAGTGAAATTTGAACAAAACAAACAATGTTTATTGCAATAATTTAGTTGAATAAACTGCGATAACTATACCATTGCTGGAGTTAAAAGTAACATAACCTTAATACATAACAACCGGAATACTAATTTGGGTTAGTGAACTTTTTCACAATCTACGCACTGGCGAACCATAATAGACTATTAATAATTATTGTCTTTATATAGTTTTATAAGAAGATACAGGGTGGTTCAAGATTCAGAATTCTGATCACCCTGTATCTGTTCCGATTAAGTATCAGTGAATAGTGAATCAAAAGTTGATATAGGGACATGTGAGCCATTTTGGCTGATAATAAATTGTTCCCACACAAATCCTCAAGTTGAAAAGTGACAACACAGCATTGCTGAATATTTTATAAATGAAGAGAGTGTATTCTTAAATATACGCATGCATATTTTCGTGGATTTCTCCCGACTGATTCTCGATTTAAAGATAAAGATAGTGTACCCTGTATGGTGTAGTGTACCCTGTATATCTCAATACCCACTCCACTTATTTTGCAATATTTATTTCACTACTGAATGGGAATGAAATGCAAACTAATGTAACCTCAAATTTGGAACATTTGTATATGAAGCAGTGAAACTTGCTGTATTGAAGGAATATTTGCTGAAAAGCTTCCTCGATTCATAAGAGTACTCAAATCAACAGTTAAAGTGAAATTTTCTTTGCTCAAATCACTACCAAAAAATCTGAATAATACACAGAAGCATATGAACCATTACTTCCATATAGTTCACAACCGGCCATTTTGGCGCTGCGATCTTGAATTCAGTCGCCTATATGCATAGAAGGGAAATAATTAAAAACACTCACCATCTTGAAAAAGTATATGAATACAATCCATCACAGCCTTCTGAATGTTGGAAAATTTCTATTTTCGACACAAGACGGCAAAACACAAACACACATAACACACACAAATGATGCACTGTAATCACTCAACTGATTTGCCACGTGTAAATATAATAGGAGTTATTTTTTCTAATCTCTCAAATCGACCGTACACGATGAAATCTACTTAAATACTGCGTGATCGCCGGTGCCTCATGCCTGATTCATCACCTTATCAATTACACGAATAATATTTCCGATAGCTCGAAGTCCCTTTTTAAAAACTTTATTTTTCGTATACACGTATGATTGGCAAATTATGTACAAGAGATGTTTAACATACGGAGTTGAGTTAAGAACTGACTGCAGAACGGCTCTCGCTGGGTACACGACGATCTTGCTGATTTCATGGAAACGGTGGATTCAGGGAATCCAAACTGTGGGATCAGCAATGTCAGCATCTTCTTGTGGGAACCTATGTTGAGTGGCGACATAATTCCTCCCCCCATAGTTTCGGCTTCCGAGGGTTAGAGAGGAAGACGAACATCGCGGTGGTCTAACTCTGGGGTTGTTGCAGCTCGAACCCTATTGGCTATCTTCTTGTATCCTAGGTAGCATGCGGCAGCAACTAGAAGTCCATATATGATGATTGTCCAGGCACTGGGGACATAGGGAGGAATCCCGTTGAAGTGAAAATCGGGTTGATTTTCTATCACTTGGGTCCGGATTTCTTGCAGTTCGTCTAATCGGAGGTCTTCTAACTCGATGTCGGTATTGGTTTTTGGTGACATCGTGATGGCAGTGTCTAAATCGGGAAACAGGATTGGCTGATTTGGATTTGATTATTGTTGTTCGTTTGTTATGGTGAACTGATCGGTGGTAAATTGGCAACCCATAGGAATTTCGATGAGGAACGTGCCAATCAGTTTCCGAATTTCTTCTTGTCTATGGCATCTGAGCTTCGTGGTTGATTCGGATGGGAATAATCCAATCCATTGATTGGATGCGTCGAGGTGGTTCAGCAGTGGTCTGCTCAAGTGGACCCGAGTCTGGTGGCATGTGGAGGTGTTTTTGATATTAAGCAGTTGGATTTCGCAGGGACCGTCTTCGACTTCTCGTAGTTCTTGTTTGTCGCAAATGTACCATCGAGGAAGGATTTCTTTGCAAGTATCACTCAGGAATGCAAAGTACATCTCGTTTTTTATCAAAAATTTATTCTTTGGAATGATTGCCTTAAACTGACCCTTTGAATATACTGGTGTTGAATAAAAGTGATATAATTCAAAATCAAAAGGAAACGTTATTGGAATATGAAGAATATATGTGATTTTATTATTGAGTAAATAGCTATCGATTTTGATCAGTCTCTCAAAATATTCTGTATTATTGAATGTTACTGCGAATGGTAATTGTTTAGATTCAGTTTGGTTATTCAATTTTTTCAATTCTGTAAACAGCTCATTTATTGAAATAATGCTCGGATGCATAACTTGTATTTTCGAAAATGTGATGGAATTTTCAATGTCCTGAAGAATGGAGTTAATTATTTCGTACATATTTATAATTTGATTGAGAATATCTTTTATTAGCATTGAGTTCTCTCTATATGTATGACTTTCGACTATCAGTGCTATTTGGTTCAATTTTGAAGTAATCAATTGCTCATTATGATTGATCCTTTGGATTGTTTTATTAAATTTATCTATGACATTCAGAGATAGAGAATATTGTTTACCCATATTTGAAACAATTTGTTTTTGATTTGATTCTAGTTGAGAAATCAATTGTTCATACCGTTGACCATCATAGGCATCTAAATTGCCAGTAACGGACTTGAAGATTGAGCCCAGACCGTCAATTAAGCCTCTTTTGTGAATATTATGATGTGGAAGTATATTTTTCAATTTTGTCTCAACTTTTTCTTCAGTAAATTGTAGGATTTTTAGATAGTTTGATGTATCGAAAGAATAATCTTTATTGGTTAGTATAAGGCTAGTAAGATTTTGAGATTTTGATCTTAATTTCCCGATTTCAGAGATTATGGGATTCATATCGTAATAATGAATAAGTGTATGTGTATATTGTTCGACTTTGGCTGTTCCGAGTTTAACTGGAATGAGGCCTGGATTATTTTCTAGCTTTTGGAGTTGAATTTTTTCCTGGAGGCCGAGGATCCCCGGGATTCTGAAATAACAGAGACGAAACGTTTTTATTTTTTGAAAGTATATGTCTGTTTCAGTGGGCGTTTTAAATTGTCCATATGTATTTTTTCTTGTGTTGAAGTCGAAGCTGTTTTCGAGTCGTTATTGACCGTTTTCAATTGTGTAGATTTGTTGAATTTATTCGCTTGTTTTTGTCTGATATGTTTTTTCACGAAGGTTTTCTGGTCTGGTTGAAATATTTCGGGTTTGTCTCGGTTAACATTGAGTTTTTCTATAGTCTTGGTTTTGAGCGTGATGAGGTCTGAATTAATTTTGGAATACAGTAATTTCGATTTTTCTCTATGATCATTGATATAGTCGTTCACCAATATCTGATCAATCTCCATATTAAAAGGATTGTTATCTGTAATATGTCCATTAATTATATCAATAGGTTTGAATTTTGTTGCGGAGTGTACAGAATGATTATAGGCTAAAATTGCATAAGTTATTTTCTTTCTGATTGGAGTTTTCAAGAATCCTTTTGTATTTAATATCCGAATATGTTCAATCAATGTCGAGTGGAATCTTTCGACAATTCCATTGGATTGAGGGTGATTTGGACTACAAAAGTGAGTGTCAATTTTGTGTAATTTTAAGAGTTCTGTTACCACAGAGTTTTTGAACTCAGTGCCGTTGTCAACTACTATTTGTTTAGGGGTACCATGATGTGAAAAGAAATTAATCAGATTATCGACAATTTCAGTGCCACAGGACGAGTTCAAATAATATGCCTGAGCGTATTTTGAAAAGCTATCAACAATAGTTAGAAATTTTGACTGTTCGAGGGTGAATGTATCTAAATGAATTATTTCAAAAGGTTTTGACGCTGTTGGTGTAATGTTCATTGTCATTCGTACAGGGTGTCGTTCATATTTACTTTGCTGACAAATTTCACAGTTATTGATATATGTTTGTACTGATTCCTTGATATGGGGCCAATAATATTTGTCTTTGATTCTGTTGAAGGTTTCGTCGATTCCGCGGTGGTTTGATTTGCTTTCATGATAATTTTTGATCAATTCCTCTATGTCGTTTTTGTCTGTCACGTCAATTAATAATTTGTTGCATTTTTTGAATTTAATGGAAGGCCATTTGAAATTAGTTTGTAAAACTACAGAAAATCTCTCGTAAATATTTGGATTTTCGAAATAAATGTGATATTGGACATTTGGTGCAACATATTCTTTGATTAATCGAATAATATCATTTTCAAAGTTGTTTTCGGAAATTTGCATTTTAATGCGCTGTTTTCTTTCGAATAAAATGGTGATTTTTGGCTTGGCAGGAGAATGTAACACTGTTGATATAATGATTTGATTTTGACCGTAGTTTACTGGTGAGTCTGATGTTGGAATACCTACTACAGGGTGTTGTTCTGCATTAGAGTGTATCGTGTCATTTTCGTCGTCTTGTCCATTATTTCCTTGTTCCACGTCTCGAATGGATTCGTCTACTTGTACTTGCATGGAAATTTGGTCTAAGTCACGTTGTTTATTAACATCGGTCGAGTCGAAAATGTCTCGGATTATTTGTTCATTCTCAGGGTTAGTTGGTTGTGTCGAAAGGTCTCTCACTAGGTCTTCTATTTCGTCCGAAACTGTTTTAGT